GATTTAGTAGAATTAGCTTCCCTTCAGAAACTGCAGTTGCTGTAACTTCTGTTTATAGTCAGTTGAAAAAATATTTTTGCGGCTGTATCCCCGCCAACTGAGCTGCAAAAAACAGGATTCAAATTTCAGTAACAATACATCAATTATAGGCGCCATAAATGTCCGCACTACAGAAATGCCAGTCATCTATCCCTCGGCGATGACCGGAATATGTTTTTCCCGAGTATGGTATGTCTTTGTTGTTAGTGTTGCTTTTTAAGGGTTTCGCAACTGGCGTGTCTTACTGATTTACAACGCGATGTTCCAATAGAAATCAAAACGCATTTGTCCCAATAGTTTTCTGGTATGGATATTATTGGCATGATATCGCGCTTTCAGCTCCGTAGATGATGAATTGAAGTGTCTTCATAGAATAAACACGTTATTGACAAACAATTTGCAAACCTGGTATTTGGAAAGGATATCCAGAATAAGGAGCGCTGACGAATCATGCAACCTATTTTGGGTTCCATAAATGAGATTTTCATAGTTGCATAGTGAGGCGGTAAGCATTCAATACACCCATTCACAGCTTTCAGTTTTAACTTTTCAGAAGGTTTTTTTCAGGGAGATAAAGTGTGATATCAAACTCATTTTGAAAGATAATTGCTGCTTAATAAAATTTTTTTCTTTCTCTTGTATCAATGTGTCAACCCAAGTTGGTCACCCGAAGTTCTCAAATTAGGTTTAACTTTCACCATTTGCAAATGTCCAGTTTGGGGAGTTTTGTATACGCGTTACCCTATCAGTTCACTATTTTTAATTCACATTTATGAAAGTTCCATTATCGAATTGCCTGAAAGCTTTACAAGTTTGAAGAAATCACATAATTTGAATTTTTTACCATATTTCAACCTTTGTTGCAAATTTCAGGCATCAGTGAGCGCGCACGTTTCTGCTAATGTTGAAAGTACGGACATATCAAATGATGCAAGAAACCGACACAGCGCGAGCTTGGCATTCAAACGACGAAATCAGACGTCTCAGGTTAATGGATTCGCACCTAGAAAGCTTACCATTTACAGCTATGAACTTTAGATATTTCAAAGCGACGCAAGAAGTGAAACAGTTTCCGCGAACGAAGAAGTAAAACGGCAAAGACCAGGTACTAACAGCGGTAGGTTAGACTCTACAAAAACTCTTTTTTGTTCGAAAGTCGCCCTTGAAGCGAGAGTTGTACCTAGGGTAGTTTTCAGGAAACGAGCTGAATGATCTCAAGGACGGCGATAAACGTAAATTACCAAAAGAGCGCAATAGGGATGCGAAGGTAAGTACAAATGTGATATAAGTTCAGCAAAATAAACATGTAATGGTTTCTTTTACTACGAAAAACTTTTGAATGAACATTGTACGTTGGTGAGAACTCTCACAAATCCACTGTAGCACGATAATGAACTTCGAACATTCTGAACAAAAGCAGTTGGGATTTAGGTAGCACTACCAAGAGTGGATGGTGCCGGAGAAGGTGGTAGGGAAGAAGACACCTGGTACAAAAAGACGTCACAATTAGTGACAAGTCAAAACGCAGATAGAGGACAAGGCGGGGGGCGAGTGATACAGAATTTTTCCCCAAGTGTAGTCTGCGGAAGTGAAAAAAACACTTCAAAATCCAAGCAACAAAACTCTTTTGAACACAACAACAACGAGAAAAGCAAGCTCAGAGGTACTTACGCAGACCAGGATGATCAAAGACTGTCAAATGAGAAACGTGTCATCAATAACAAGCATCTGCATCTTGTGCGGGGATATGCTGATTCTAATCATGTACAGTACCACAACACTTCGACATTACAAGAAAGGATTAGACATGCAGAGCAGTCAGAGGTTACAGCAAATGGAAGGGGCCATGAAATATCTGTCAGTAAAAATGATGATGTTTCAAGTTGTGGTGGTTCGTTCATAAACAGTACGACGAACAAGCAAGATATGTATATGAAAGGAGAACGTTATGAAATTAGGCGTCCCAAGGAC